AACTCCCGCACACCCCCTCTCACACCGCCCTTTTGACTACGGTGCGGTGCGGCTCTGCGGCTCCGGCAACAGGTCCGGAGATTTAACAGAAGTTCACTTGAGTTCACGTAACTTCACGCGATAACACGGCCCAAATAAAGGATTTTTGCGAGAGCTTGTTGCGGAGGGATCCGGCACGCCGCAAGGATAGCTTTCTTGCGGAATTTTCTGCAGCGCCGGAGTGTCTCGGTAACCGCAGCCGGACAGCTCAGCAGCCAGTGAGAGAGGTTTACGTCTTTTAAATGACTTGGAATCACTGCGGCGCCGCACCCACCGCACCGCAACGGTAAGACCGGAGTCGGTGTGAGCCTGGGGTAAACAAAGTTCAATCCGTAGCAATATCCAGACCCTCTCGCTTCAAAAAATCGGCATGTAAATGTAGCTGCGCATGCGCAATCAGCTGCTGGTAGTGATCGGGTAGCATTAGCAGCGTTAGCTTAGCTTGTGTGTGGAGTCATTGTAGAGAGGCTGATAATCTGGGAGTGTTTGCAGTGAGAATGTCTTCAGTCCAGCTTCAAGGAGAGTTTATCACCGAGCAGTTAACTCCTGCTGAAGAAACATTCACGGAGTTTAAAGGGAGTTTGGTCAATTCGGAGGAAAAGATGGACGATCAACATCTACTGCTGGATTTCACCAGGATCCCCCAGATCATCTTACACCGGATAGGTAGGAAACACCTGATAGAAACGATTCCCTGATGATGCACACTGTGGGTTTTAGCCTCATCTGATTGGAAAACTGCTTAGAGGAGATCAACATGCTAAGCTAACTTCTGGTCGGCGGCCATCTTACTGCGGTCAGCTCGCCCACTTAGTAATTTGCTCCGGTTAAACCTCTTCTTCGCTCCTAGTTCACTGCAATCACAGAAACCCGTCTCTATCGAGAGATAATATAAGACTAGACCCCGCATTGACTGTCTGTGCGCAGACATCACGGGCGCCATCTTGGGGAGGTCATCCTGCTGCCCTAACCTGCTGCTTTAAGCAGAACAGTAGAAGGATGCCTCAGCACTGCAGAGTGTTTTAGTTTAAATCAACAGACTGTTGACATCAGGGCTGGAGGGAGAACTTCATGAAGGCATCAGAGCTTTGGAAGACATTACTAAATAAACAGCAGATATACACTACATAGAATAGAAACTCCCTTTGTTGGCCCACTGTGGGGAAATAGTGGAGTTACAGCAGCAACACATTACAGCAACAGTGCTCACACTATGTGGACCTTAAATAAAAATAATAGAATAAGTGACAAAGTAAAAAAAAAAAAAAAAAAAAAAAAAACTTCCGATCTAATTTATTTCTTAAGCACTTAAAAACAACCACAGCTGACCAAAGGGCCGTAAAGAAAATAATAAGTAAAACATAAAACAGTATAAATAAAAACCAAAACAAATGAGTAAAAATAACAATCACATATAATATGAAATATAAATAAGCATGAAATATAAGAAAAACATAAAATAATGTTCTGTGCAATGTTTTTATATAAATATAAATAAATACAGTTGTTGACATTTTTACAGTACTTTACACTATTTTTACAGTATAGTTATATAGAGATATAAACACACACTTATATATGGCCTGGGAGTTTGAGGGTTCTGCGCAGTATCTTAGCTGTTCCTAGGACTGCGCTCTTCCAGACAGAGACCTCTGATGTTTTACCTGGAATCTGCTCTATATTGCTGTTCAACACCGCCACTAGATGGCGCCACCAATCACATCAGCGTCCATAGGTGAAAGCGATCAATGTGGGGTCTACTCATATATTATGTCAATGACTGTCACTGTGAAGTTCACTAAATCATTTTAACTGACATGAAAATAGTTTTTGCTTTTAACAGCATGATGAAGAACAAGAAATGAATGTTAATAATTTCCCAGTAAAGGAAACATCTCCCACTATCCTCCATTCTCTGTGAATCAGTCTAACATCAGTCTCCAAAGATCCTGGTCTGTCAGCAGATCCCAAATCTCTGTCACGGTGGTTTGATATCCAAGCAGACAGGACAAGAAACGTTTGTAACCTAAAAACAGCATAAAGGTTGGAAATCAGCTTCTCCTCTGGAACCGACTGTTTATGCAGCCTGTAGAACAAAAGGCAGAAATAGAGAAACAATCAGATTAAATTATGACAAACAGGGTCTATAACACAGATGATAGGAGAGATTAGGTGGCTGCTTCGTTGCCCGATTAAAACCAACAAACATTAACAAACAGGTCAGAATAAATGTCCTCATTTCAGGCCTCAGATCTATCAAACACGTGTTTGATGGATGTGAATAATGGGAAATATTGTGGAAAACTGCCGTTTTGTGATCAAAAACCTCATTGTGAGCAGGCAGCATCTGAAAGCATCCGAGTCTGCAGAGTCCTGAAAGTTGGGATCCAGGTGGATCTGGAAGAATATGGACTGTAAAACACTCCAACACCTGGGATGATGTTTAAATCCATAAATTAGGATTACAGTACTTAAAAATATTATTCTCATTGCTTCATGTGGCTGTTATGACACTGCCATGGTCTGTAACCATGTTCATAAAGTTACCTGTGATTCATTTCCCCTTCTGTTTCTCAGTTGAGACACATTATTGTATTTGCATTCAGAGAAACTTTAAATCATTAATGTTTTTGAATTTAGGGATGATTTGAGCCTAAAGTGTATGCTTCACTGGCACAATTAGAGAAAAAAGGAAACTCATCATAAAATGTAAGTAGCAAAGAAATTAATGTTTTTCATTCTTATATTTCAACATTATGTTGCCTGACCCTTCTCTGTTCTCAGAAATTCCATGTACTTATTGAGCTGTTAGGATAATGTTTATGGTTCAGGTATGTGCCTAATAATAATAATAATACCTGCCTGTTAATGTAAAGACTCATGTTTTCCAAGCTGTTTATTTAATTAGGAAAAGATTTGGGAATGTAATGAAGCACAGGCAGAGTGGATCACTCTTCACAGTCAGACATTTCTCACTGTGCGTTCAGAATGGCCTTGATCTTAAAACATTGTAGTATTTTCATATGTCTGTAGCCAGTAGCGGTGTGCAAAATAATCGTCATGATGATGCATCGTGATTCTAATTTTCGTGATCTACTGCATCGATTCTTGACGCCAAGTATCGATTATTAAAAAAAAAAAAAAATGAATAAATAAAATTGCATGAATGGTTGGCGAACATCAGCCAAAAACAAGTGTAATACAACTTCCAGTCCAGTAGATATCGCCGCGGATGTGTTGACGCACACTGCCTTGTGTCACAAGCATTTCCGTCCGCGCGATACTGCGCCGAGTCATTCAAAAACAAAACATGGAGAAAATATTGCAATGCATCGCAATAATTCAACTATCGTGATACATCGTGATAGAATCGCATCGTGGCCTGTGAATCGTGATTCAAATTGAATCGTGACTTCTTTGGCAACACCCACCCCTAGTAGCCAGGCATGTGTCCTCATTTGAAGATGTGTATGATGTATTGATTTGATGATATGGATGGCAGGCTGTGATAGTGGAGTTCTATAAAATGCTTCTATAACCATTATTTGCTGTTTGATACCACCCTACCTGTGCAACCTCTCTGGTCTGATTAAGATTACAATTCTCTAAAAGTTGCTATCGTGATATCTAGAAATTGAATACATCAATCTTTTAAAGTGACAAGGTGTTTGCTCAGAGTGATCTCTTGTCTGGCAAGAAAGCTTAAAGGAATAGTACACCCAAAACATGATTAGCCTTCATTTTCTACTCACCCCCATGCTGAACAACACTCTGGAGTACTTTTTTGATATCTCAAATGCATCTGGAGATCTGGGAGGCTTCTTGCTGTCTGCTGACATTCGAATAATGGAGGTCTATGGCGCCCGAGGCAGAAAGGTCCATAAAAGTCCACAAAAAACGTGTCAATATTCCTCCATACTGCTCGTCCAATGTATTCCAAGTTTCCTGAGTGGGTAGCATCCAGAATTTACTCGAAACAAAGTCATTTACAACATAAACAGTAGTGTATAGGATTTCCTGAAAGCGCGCACATGCGCGATCACGACGCTACGGAAGCCGGCAGACCAAACCAGCGCATTCAGCTCGGCAAAGAACTCATGCTCTTCCTCAACACTGAAGTCCTCAGACATTTTTCTTTCGTTGTTTCTTTCTTTGCACAGGTAAACAGCACATTTCTTCTTCTACGCTTGCATTATTGGCAGAGCAGACGCTGAATGCGCACTTTCATCTGGTTTGGTCTGCCGGCTTCCGTAGCGTCGTGATCGCGCATGTGCGCGCTATACACTACTTCGTTTCGAGTAAATTCTGGATGCTACCCACTCAGGACACTTGGAATACATTGGACGAGCAGTATGGAGGAATATTGACACGTTTTTTGTGGACTTTTATGGACCTTTCTGTCTCGGGCGCCATAGACCTCCATTATTTGAATGTCAGCAGACAGCAAGAAGCCTCCCAGATCTCCAGATGCATTTGAGATATCAAAAAAGTACTCCAGAGAATTGTTCAGCATGGGGGTGAGTAGAAAATGAAGGCTAATCATGTTTTGGGTGTACTATTCCTTTAAAGCTGTAAACACAGCTTTCTGTTCCAGCTCACATTCTAGATAAGTAACTCTGTATCACCTTCGTGATTTTTAGCTGTTAACTTTCACAGATCCGTTGTAGGTACCAGATTGACTCGGGCTGCCAGATTGACTCGGGGGCCTGCGCCTTTTGATGACGTCACAATATGGCAACTCCACCCGTCACACTATATGGCAACGCCACTCGTAACGATATGGCAACTCCACTCAAACAAACTACATTGCGCCCGCGGTCTCTATTTGTCACAAATCTATTTTATTTAGCCAATAAACGGTAATCGTTTGGCATTGTCCGTTAATTGACCAAATACCTATAATACATTAAAACATTAATTTTTCATTAATTTTTTTACAGATTACAGGAAATGGGTATATATTTTTTTCAGTTCAAACTTTATTCTCATGTAAACACAAACATTTAAACAAAAGAGCTGGTAAAAAATCCCACAGTGTCGTGGTGTTTTCTCCTCTGGACAGGCAGATCCATGGATGACATCCTGGAGATTTAGGAAGGAGAGGAACAATAAACATAGGTGTAATATCTTCATTACACTTGTATCTGATATGTCCATACCCTGTTTAACATTTGTAAAAAAGAAAAAATAATATATATATATATATATATTATAATTAAAATATATATATTTTAATAATAATAATAATAATGATAAATATATATATACTAATTACATAACTATATGATCAAGAAAAGTAAAGTAAAACATTAATGACCATAATTTGATTTATGTTCAAGGTATTGTGGGCAACTTGCACATGCACAACAGCATCCCACCTCTGCTCAGAGGGAATGCTTTAAAGAATCTCCCAGTTACAAGGCTTTTCTAATAAATAACATTACTCAGTTCCTTTATATTTTACACTTTAATCCTTCTGGATAAACTTCAGTAAGCCAATTGAGTCTAGGCCAGGCATCTAACTTATGTTTACCTATTGCATTTGGCTGCAAAAGTGACTGCAGTATCCAGGGTTAGGGTCTTCAGAGTAAATAGCTTGCAGCACTCCCCTTTTTCCTTTCCCAACATATCCTGTAGAAAAAAATGAAATAACAACAAAAAAACGAAACAAAACAAAAAGCACACTGATCAAAGGCAATTACACTCTGTGTTAAATGACGAATTACAACAATACCGTTTGGATCTATATAGATTTAAGACTATAAAGTTTGAAATATATATACCAGGTGTGTTTTTTTTGTACAGAGTTCTGCATTCGCAGCATGTCTCAATGCTGTACATGGTGTAGAACTCCTCCTTGTATGACAACGAAAACCTGCCCCAATTAGCAACACCTGTAAAAAACAAATTATACACAAACAGTGAACATTTCCAAAGAGCTGGTGAAAATATGCATAACGATACCACTGTACCCTTAATTACAGCACTTACTGTCAAGCCACTGAAAATGCACCCTTCTCCTGAAACCTACAGTGGACATGATGTCTCTGAAGGTGGTGCAGACGAGCCCCAGTGTCATGTAAGCCTGATCTCCTTCCAGGAGTACCACTTCCCCGAGGATCTCAGAGAGCAGACATGCTGACAACTGTGAAATTTAAGTTAGGCAAAACAAAATATATTAAAAGATAATCATTCTGATCATCAAGGCATAAATTGGGAGAAATGAGAGCATGGAAAATTAATGACAACAAACATATTGTATTTCCCTTATGTTTTAATTCATCTGGTGTGTTGTATTCAGTGTTGTATTCAGCAGTGTTATGTGCTTGGAGTTTAAGAAAGTTATTAATAGATTACCTCCAATATGAAACATCTGTCATCTTTGGGAAACACAACCTTTTAGGGGAGAAAGGGAAGACATATGTATGTTTATATGAAATAATCTGGATTTCTTTAATGAGTCGATCATAAACAGAAGAATAGCACTTGGGACCGTCACCAAGATCACCTCATGTTTCCTCTTTCTGGACTTTGGGATCCTGTACATTGGCTCCAGTGACCCTTTCAGTAATGCTGTAGCCTCGCTAGTCCAATGTGCAAACCTCTGCCCATGGCTGTACATTCATGACAGAATAAAAGAGATTAAAGTAATGTGGAAGTAATTTTGTTGTTTTGGGAACTATATTTACAATTGTCTTACCCTTCAATCTGGAATCGTTCCATCAGACTAATGCACCACCACTTCCGAATGTGTACCATGTCCCTCTAAAAGAAATTATTTTAATTACTCAAACAAATGGTAAAGCATGTTCTAGCTTATACTTAGCCTTGTAGAAATTGCAAACAAGTGGTATAGGAAATTTTATTTAAGATCCTTTTTGTACTTGGTCACATGTCAGAAGAAAAAATACTGACCTCAGTAAACAAGAATGGAGCACCTGTGCTGATGCTGAGGGCATACTGTGAAAATCAAATATCTATTCAGTTATGGTGGATTAAAATTATACAAAAAAACGTTTCAATAGAGACTAGATTTTTTTTTAACCATTAATATAAAGATGCCACAACAGTTTCCGGTGGTCTGGTGAGGGAAACTCTGAAAGAATAGGACAAACATCAAAGAAGAATGTACCAATCTTACAATAAAAATAAAAATGCAGATTTAAGCTTAAAAATACAATCCTAATACACTGGAGAGGTATACCTCGATGTCTTTTCCAAACTTAGTTGTCCAATGGCCTGGAGCAATGTGATGAGCGAGGTCACTGTTAACATCATTAGAAATGCAAATGAGTCACCTCTTACATGTATTAATGTCAGAAAAACAGCCACTGAACAGGACTGAAAAATAATTTTATAGCCATTGAACGAGGCTCAACTTTGAAACAGCCTTTAAACGAGGCTTTAAGCTCATTTTTCTACAACCCAAATATTGGAATTCACAGTATACTCAGTCAAGCAGACTTGATAGCAACGGTTAGAAATTTAATTTTGTCATTTGGCCAATGTGTTGTGTACCTGCAAATTTTGAATACTATGAATTCTTTAGAACTCCCATACTGAACAAGCCACAGAACAGGGCTGATTGTGATGTTACAAAACCTAAAAATGCTTTGGAAATGACTGTCGCCAAAGCCATCTGGTTTGAGAGAGTCCAGCAAAAAGAGCTCTTTCTTTGCTGGCTTCAGTACCTGTGAACCATTTTCAAATAAACTGAAGTTATCCTAAGCAGAAAAAAATTGACAAAACTACAGAATACATTGAGCAAAATTTTAATTTGATAGTTCACACAATCTGAAATGGACTCACGCAGAGCAAATAGTGATCTGCTTTTCCTTGCTGTTGGCTCCAGGCAGGGATGATTATGTCTTTTGACAGGTCACGCTTTTGAACAAGTGAATTTGCAGAATTGTATATCAAGACATATTGAGGTGTGTAAAGTAATACAGAGGGTCAAAGGAATACAACAACTTACGAGAAGAGCGGCCTCTGGCTCCCCCATTTTGGACTTCCATGTTGGAACAACGTACATGTCTACAATGTGGACATCTTTTCCCTACAATGATAAAAATTACAAATTCATAATGGTAAACTGGATTAACAACAGCAACGTTTCACTGTTTAGAGTAGACTAATTAGAAGAAAAAAATTTAAACTATAAGGGCTTAATTCTACATAATGTTTGTTTTAATACATGACAACCATACACGTCTTTGGGCAGCTTCTTGAATCAGCTTGAAGCATGCGTTTCCAATCTGCAACAGAGTTAAAAATAGTAAAGACTTTGTGGATTCATCTGAAATCAATTACAACAGCTTTAATATACCTACATTGGATTCCATACATTGGGGAAGACCCAAGCTCCAGAAGTCTTCCCGTGTCAGGCAGACATCCCCATCTTTGGCAATAAGCTCTGCTCCAGACCGGTTTAAATGAAGTACATATTTGAGCTACAAATAATAGATTGGAAATACAATTAAAACCAGCAGAAAACAAATTGAAATATAATCAATACCCATTCATTAAATAATTTACAGGACACACATATATGCCTACCAGCATGGCTTGGACTGGATTGAAATCAGTCAAATATCCCAGAGAAGGCCAGTAGTCATGGTCACGTACTAACTGCTGTGGCACCAGTGGGCCAGAAATGGGCTCCTGTTCAGCTATAAGTGGTTATAAAAAAACACTTGCAGGGGATTGTTTTTTATAGTTTAAAGACTAAGGGACATCTTGAGTACAGTTACGTTATGTTTCTTACTTCCATGGCAAAATTAAATGAACAAACTGTATTTAAATTTGTACCTTGGAAGTCATCTCCCTGAGAAATTAAAACTTCTGGCACTTTGGACTCTGAAGAAAAGAACAAAGTATTATGAAGGTAACTTATGCCTGTGAAAGTACAGCGAGTCTTTAAATTGCTAATCCTAATACCTCTCAATGTAGGGCGGATGAAAGGCTTCAGCTGTGAAACATTTGTGTTCTGTTTCAGCTGAGCACCTGTTTTGCTGGACAGCGTTGCCACACCCTTTTCAGAAATGGAGGTAATGACGTATGGTCCAGACCAATTGGCTTCAAGTCGCCCTCCTTTTCGGCCTTCCTTTCTTTTATTTGCTTTGAGGACCTCATCACCAATTTTGAAGTGGAAGGATTTCAAGTTCCCTCTTTTTTTTTTGTCTCATACGCCTTCTTTTGTCTGTCCTGCGCGTTTTTAATGTTCTGGTAAATCTGAGAAAATATTAAATGATGTTTCTTATAATGTTATGATTAATTAAAACATAATACATAACTCCATAGACATATATTTCCTTTTCACCATCACCTTTGCATGGAGTTCTGCAATGTCTGCAGCCTTGGCCTCCAGGTCTTCTTCTGTCTCCTCAATCACCATGACACGTTTGTCATCATCCCCTTTTTCTTGCGTTGTGTTGTTTATTACACCTGGTGTGTGGGGGTGTCTTCCAAACAGAGCACAATAGGGTGTGTGCTTTGTAGATCTCTGTGAAAAAAAATACAATCATTAGCATTTTACAGTCTTCTATGTCCGTGTGTTGATGGAAAACTTCATACGGATCAGCAGGCATTTTCTCTCAATCCTCAATTTTTGCAAGAATAAAGTGCCATTTGAGTGATTCTGACCAATCTCTCTTGATTTTTTAATTAATACATGGACATGTCGTGGGCATGTTGCTGGTACACTGTCTTACACACCTGTTTGGATGTGTTGATGCCTGCTACTACTCCCCGTAGATGGATGTCCCAGTCGTTTTGGTCCTCCCCACAGTATTTGGCTAATGCAGTCTTGATATTGCGGTTGGTGCGCTCATCTTGTCCATTGGCCTGGGGATGGTAGGCTGATGTTATACAGTGTTTGACACCCAAACCTTCAAACACACCACGGTTGCCCTGTAGACACATTTGTATAGCTTTGAGTGATACAATATGATTCATTACAAATATACATTATTTGTAAATAAAACTGTACCTCATTTACAAATTCCCGCCCCTGGTCGGTTATAATCCTCTCTACCAGTACAAAGTCAAGCAAAATATTGACAATTTTTTTGGACACCTCAGTGGCACTTTTGTTGTAGAGGGATTTTGCCACCACCCACTTGGTGAATAGATCTGTGGCAGTTAGAATGAACCTGCAACATACAAGCAGATTGTTTTGAACATAATTTGTATCCATGACTGTCATGTTCTCTGTTCTCTTTATCAAAAATGTAATATTACCGTTTGCCCTTTGCGGTGGTAGGAAGGGGACCAATTAGATCTATCCCAAGGACAGTCCATGCTTCCTGGACTTGGATAGGATGAAGGATGGGTGCCACAGTTTTTATTTTTTCATGGTGCTGACAGCGAGGACACTCATCAACCTTTAAAATAAGTGATTAAATAATTGCAGTTGATTTCCTCACAAGTACACTGTATATTTGAAGCAATGTAGGGACTATAATAAATGGAAAGCATCACAGTTTAAACAGAACTTAGCAAATCTAATAGCATAGCCTAATTTTCATTCAGAAGAATAAACAATTAGAAAAATCTTACCCATTTTTTGACATCCTCTCGTAAGGTTTTCCAGTGGTAGGAAGCTAACACCTTCTCTACTGTGCGGCGCCTGCCATGATGTCCTCCGCTACCAAGGTTGTCATGGCAACTCCTTAAAACCTCACAAACCTGAGCTTGAAACACCACCAGACGGAGCTTGCCCTGGTAGTTGTAATACAACTGCCCATCTAACGCAACAAATAAAACATTCATTTAGATACTGCTCTATAAACACAGTTTAATTCATATTTTTGCACATTTGTCAGTCACACTGGTACTTACTTTTAACAGTATAATGTTTTGATGTCTTACGAATGGTTGCCTTTCTGGTATCAGGACTTGAACATGATGTAGTTAGGCTGTGGTAAGTCCCTTTTGAAAGATAATGAAGAATTTCTTCGTAAAAATGATCCATGTTATCAGAGGGACTTTAATCCCTATTCTTCTAATATGGCGTTGCCATAATGTGACGTCATCGGGAGGCGCAAGGCCCATGGCGAATTCGGTGACGTCATCGGAAGGCGCAGGGACCATGGAGAATTTCTTCGTAAAATTCTCCGTTTACAAACCGCAATACCGCTTTCGAATAAAACCTACACCCCGCTATAATTACTTTAGTAAGCTGTCCAGACCAATCAAAATGTTTTGCGCAATTGTGCAAACGTTAAAACAATGATGTGTTGTGACGTCATCAAAAGGCGCAGGCCCCCGAGTCAATCTGGCAGCCCGAGTCAATCTGGTACCTACACCGTGTTTCCTTCAGTGGATCTAGATTAACTGGTGACATAAATTTTAAAAATCCAAAGATCATGCAAATTTAGTGTTACATTCCAGAATAGGAGATATTTTTTCCTGGTTTCCTCTTTCAACAGAATGGGGTCACCTTGGTTAAAACAATAATTAGAAAGTAGGTTCTGCAGTGAACCTGTTAAGAGTTTAAATGATAACCAAATAATTTTCTTTTACTAGTGAGGTTGGAACTTCATAAAACATTGGTTGTATGGAAACGGTCAGCCTGGAGGCTCTCTGGTGCTTTTTGGGCGGTTGAACACTGCAGAACAACTAGAAATATTTCAAACCCATTATTTAAACAGCAGCATTTTGATCAGGCAACAATACAGCCACCTAACTTTGAAAATACATCGATGTTGTAGACCCCATTAGTAACAAGTTAACTAAAGGGCTGGTTATATTCCTGCAGTAATGTGTGTCCGTCATGGGATGATAAGCCCCTACACGGGATGTACCACCGAAACATAATCAAAGTGGAAGGTATCAGGAAATGCTACCAATGACTAGGGCTGGGTATTGTTCAAAAATTTTCGGTTCCGGTACCAATACCGATACCTTCACTTCGATACCAGTTCCTGAACGATACTTTTTTCAATACCAGTTTTATAATATCAATTCGAAGAAAAAGAAAATAACACAACATAAAAAAAGTACAAATCTTGAGTTTTATTTTAAGCTCTGATTTTTCCATTTACATTTTTCCTCTTACATAAAAAAAAAAATTCGGTGTCTAATATTCACTGTAACATTGTGAGGACCTTTTTACTGAGCAGTTTTCCTTTAGAAAAATTACCATGTCTGACAAACAAGCCCGTTGAATGGGATCCTATTGACAGCGCACCGCTGGTATGTGGGGGTCTGAGCGGCTCCCACCGAAATATTGGAAGGCAGGATGAACTGACTGCAGTGATTAAGTTTTCAGGTGGATTTTCCCACTTAAAAACATAATAAAACTACTTTATTCCCACTGATCACAGCAAATATAGCTGCAAGGCAAATAAAGGATAGAGTAGCTCCGCCCAACGCGCGTCAGAGCAGCAAAGCTTCTTCAGCCGCGCGTCAGAAACTGGTACAAGCAGCAAAAAAGGAAGCAGCAGACGTGATTTTGCTGCTCCTGCTGCGTCCAGTTTGAAAGCAGCATGATTCACTCCGCTCTGGCTTTGCTCTGCCCACGGGCTGCTGAGAGGAGGATGGTCGCGCCGGCTGCGGTCCGCTCTTCTTGCAGTCAAACACCGAGCGACTTTCTGCTCTTAAATTGTTTCCGTGCACGATGTATTGCATTGCGCACTATTGGCATCAGTCTTAATAAAGTGAAGTTTTGACCTGGGGGGCATTTTAAAGGGGTTCCACGACGCTCACAACCAGTTCACAACAGATACACATGAACCCTGGCTGTAGCCGGGACCACCTGTGTATTTTTCCTGGATGACGCAATCACGTTAAGAGTTACAGCCAAGCACCGAAACTTGGTACCGAAAGACGAGGCATGTTTCGATACTCTGTAGAACCGAAGCATTTCGGTCGGTACCATAAAAGAACCGAAGTTCGGTACCCAGCCCTACCAATGACTAGACAAAGCTGGACTGAAGGACAGAAGCACTCATCATGGCTGCACAGGAGCAGGTCCTAAGCACCAGAGCAATAGAGGCCCAGATCTACCGCACCAGACAAGACCCCAGGTGCAGACTGTGTAAAGAGGCCCTGAGACAATCCGGCACATAACTGCAGGGAGTAAGATGCTGGCACGGAAAACTTACATGGAGCACCATAACCAAGTGGCTGGAATAGTCTACAGGAACGTCTGTGCGCAGTAAGGGCTGGAAACCCCAAGGTCAAAGTGGGAAACCCCTCCAAAGGTGGTAGAGAATTATCAAGCCAAGATCCTGTGGGACCAGATACAGGTGGACCGAATGGTAATGGCAACCGGACATTGTGGTGGTGGACAAAAAGTCAGGGAAAGCCATTGTGGTTAACATAGCAATACCAAGTGAGTGCCACATCCGGAAAAAAGAACTTGAAAAACTAGAGAAATACCAGGGGCTGAGAGAAGACCTGGAGAAAACCCGGAAGGTCAAGGCATCAGTGGTACCCATGGTCATTGGGGCACTTGGGGCAGTGACCCCCAAACTTGAAGAGTGGTTACAGCTAGTGTTAATTTTAGCAGCCATTTTTAAATTTAGTTTTAATTTTAGTCCAGTTTCCGCATTGTTTGTTAGTTTTTATCACATTTAGTCGATATCATCGCATTTTTATTTAGTCTAGTTTTAGTCGACTATAAGTCGAGCATTTTAGTCTTTATTTTAGTCCAAGAAAACATAATTTTATTGGTTTAGTTTTAGTCAACAAAAACTGTCAACATTTTAGTCTAGTTTTAGTCAGGACATAATTTTAACCTTTTACTTTTTTGTCAGCAGATAACGTTTAAGATTTCCTAAAATTATTTCACATTTCAACATTTTCTCTTTGATAAAAAAAAACACAATTTCAAGGAACACATGGAAGATGTTCTGAAAATATTTGCATATTTATTTTGAACATTAAAACAAATAAAATACACCTGACAAAGGAAACAAACAAATAAATAAAATAAAGTGTCTTATGAACTTAACACAAGTGCTGGCTGTTTAAAGCTAGTTCACATAGAATAATACAATAAGGGGACTTCCGGGAGCGTTTTCAAGATGGCGGTTTGAACTTGTAACCTCTCCTGATCAGCGACAAGGAAAACTCCACAAAACTCGATAAAGAAATTCAATTCTTCGTCAAAATGATATATAATGCGTGGAGTTAGATCAAAAAAGAGAACGGGGGTTGCTGAAAATCACAACCGGGCAGGGACTGAACTAACAAACGTTGATAGCAAAGCTAACACGATGCAGACCTCGGACCCTAACAAGGAGAGTGAGCTAACGACTGCTAAGGCTATCCAGAATCTATGCAACAATATCAAAGAAATGCAAAATGACCTCATTGCCATGAAAAATGATATCAAGCAAGACCTGAGCAGCTTTAAGAGTGAAATAAACAAGAAACTGGAGGAAGTTAGCTCGGACATCTGTAACCAAGCTGCTAGGCTAACGGAAGCGGAGCAACGGGTGAATGAACTGGAGACGGTGAATATAGACTTGAGAGATTCTCTCTCTTACTGCCTTAAACAGCAAAAAATTCTCCAGGATAAAGTTACTGATTTAGAAGGAAGATCCCGACGTAATAATATCCGCATTTATGGCATTAAAGAAGAAGCTGAAGGCAACGCCATGCAAATGTTCATTGAAAACTTCCTGAAAGAGCAGCTCTCCATCAACCAAGATTTGCAGATTCAACGAGCTCATCGTTCACTGGGACCGAGGCCGCGAGATGCGTCAATTTCAAGATCCATACTCGTCAACTTTCACAGATATGACACGAAAGAAAAAGTCCTTAAAGCAGCTTGGGGGAAGAAGATATTTTATGAAGGTAAACTGATCTCATTTGCGCACGACTTACCAACCGAGATAAATAATAAGCTTAAGGAAGACAAAAACATCAAGAAGATTCTCAAAGAGGGGAAAATACGGTTCCAAACACCTTACCCGGCTAAGATGAGGATTCACTGGGATGACGGACCACACCTGTACGCGAGTGCTTCGGAAGCAGCGGCCGACATGAGGAAGAGGGGATACAAGGTCGACATGCCGCAATCTTCCACCGCAAATGAAGAACCAGCGATTACCCAGGACCCAAACTGGAATAAAGCCGGCACCTCGCTCTCCAAACGGGTGCGCGAGTCGCTCCGAGAATTTCAGCGAGAGCAAGTATAGAAAAACCTTCCTGATGTAGATCCTGAACTGTAAGTAATAAGAAAATATTATAGAGGATCTGAACCCCACGAGGTAATTATCTCTCTAGTCTTAACACCCGGCACCTTACCACCCCTTTTTTTTTTTTTTTTTTTTTTTTTTTTTATTATTAATAATTTATTTAAGTGTGTATGTATACATGTGTATATATGTATATGTGTGTGTGTGTATGTACGTGGTTTTTTTTTTTTTGTATTTACTGATTTATATATTATTTATTTCTTTTATTGTTATGTGTATGTATATATAATTTTCCCCCCTTTTTTTATATTTATTTATTTATTTATTATTATTATTATTATTATTATTTTTTTTTTTTTCTTCCTTTTGCAACCCCCTCCCCCTCTTACAGGTAATAATATTGTCCTGATCAGGAATAATGGAGATATGTCTCTTAAGCTCAAAGGTGAAAGGACTCTGGCTTTGGCAGAGAAGGAGCCCCTAGAGAGAATAGGGCTGTTGCTCCTACAATGTATGAAGAAAGGTTGTATGATGTTGGGGCCTAGTGAAGCCCTGATGATGGAAGTCATCCTGTTTGTGTTATGTTCTTTAAATCTCTGTTCCTTGTGTTCATACTGTCGACATGTACAAACTAGTATACAGGTATGATTAACGGTGATATCAGAGCAGCTTCATGGAATGTTAATGGTCTCAACAACCCTGTTAAGAGAAGCAGAGTAATGTCTAAGATAAAAAGGGAGAAAATTCAGATACTATTTCTTCAAGAAACTCACTTATCCCCAAAAGAGCATGAGAAATTTGGATTCAGGAATGTATTT